CTTCCCCGGTCGAGCCGACCCATTCGTGCTACAACTATACTACTAATATAGCTGCAGCATGGCTCTACCACGTATAAAATACTGTATGCTGTCCCGTGTACTGCATATAATTCTTTGCTATTGTTTTACTATTGTGTCTGAAATTCGGAGTGGGTGTTAAAATTCAAAAGTTTTTTTTTTATATTTCCTATTGTAGAATCTTATTAGGGGAGTCACAGGATGAAATTTTCTGATGGATTCTTTTTTACGCAGGCAGTAAATTAACCCTGTTTGTTGGTAACGACATTTCTCATAACTTTTTTTTAACTTCACTTAAGCCCTGACATTTTGTCTCTGTCCGTCTGTTATATCGTAGGTTTCATGGTGCAGGCATCCCGCATTTATCTAATTAATGTATGTATATTTATATGGTAGGACTACGGTAATAATAGGGTCTAATACTCCTGCCATCCACTTGTGCCATAAGGTAGTTGACCTATTGGAGGGAAGTTGGGTTAATATTTAAATAAATTGCTACCTAACTGTACAAGGGGTGTTAATGCATCTAAATTTTGATTCTTAATCAAGGGTAGATGTACAATTGAACAACGTAAATGGTCTTTAAGACTTTCTCACTCGATCTAAAGTAAATTTTGGTGTGCAGGCGAACTTGACAACGACGAACGCGACAAGCTAGTGCGCGCGCTGGGCCCCAGCGCCAAGGTGCTGGTGCTTAGCGGCAACGGCGCGCTGTGCTGCGGTGCCACGCTAGAGGAGGCCTTCTTCCAGGCCAAGAACCTGGCCGCCGCCTGCGACGTGCAGCTGCGCCTCGCTTCCCAACCCCTGGAGGAGCTGCACCTGCTGGACGAGCACACCCGCCGCCAGGTACACGCTCATAGCCCTTGCATTCGCTTAGCTAACGCCACCTGATCCGTGGACGAGGAAACTGTACAAGCCGTGGACTTTTATAGATTGAAAGAAAGAAAGAAAGCACATATTTATTGATTCCTACAACAACTTGCAGAACAACTTTTACAAACAAAAAAAAATATTAATTTAAAAAATGTATTGCAACAACAAAAAGGTCATTGTTTCTGCATAATGCTACTGTACTAGCTAACTTATTCTACGTTCCTATATTCTATGACTTTGTAATGTCTATATTAATATTAAATCTATAAAACAAATAAAAAGCGGTCAATCGCCCATGAAGGGTTCCGCAGTAGTACCTAAGTAACATAATTTACGATTTATGACATATTAAAAAAAACTACTTACTAGATCTCGTCCAAACCAATTTTCGGTGGAAGTTTACATGGTAATGTACATCATATATTTTTTTAGTTTTATCATTCTCTTATTTTAGAAGTTACAGGGGGGGGGGGGGACACATTTTACCACTTTGGAAGTGTCTCTCGCGCAAACTATTCAGTTTAGAAAAAAATGATATAAGAAACCTCTATATCATTTTTGAAGATCTATCTACAGATACCCCACACGTATGGGTTTGATGAAAAAAATTTTTTGAGTTTCAGTTCTAAGTATGGGGAACCCCCAAAATTTATTGTTTTTTTATTTTTGTGTGAAAATCTTAATGCGATTCACAGAATACATCTACTTACCAAGTTTCAACAGCATAGCTTATATAGTTTTGAAAATAAGTGGCTGTGACATACGGACGGACAGACAGACAGACATGACGAATCCATAAGGGTTCTGTTTTTTGTCATTTGGTTACGGAACCCTAAAAATACTTTGAGGTTCGAAAACCTCGAGATTCCATTATCTATATATACCATTTGCCTATAAGTATGGTAATGTATGAAGGGTTTTATGTCTTATGAATAAATGAATGAATTAATTAAATGAAATGGATGAAATATACTTTATTGTATACCGATAAATAAAAGGAAAAAATATACAAATTATGAAAAAGGTACATTTGGCAGTGTTGTCGCTAACAAGCGATCGCTACTAGGCATCCATAAGCTAAAAATGGTGCGGGATGTAGGCAAGGTATCGTAACGTATGGCGGTGTTTGTTGCAGATCTACGAGGCGTCGCGCAAGCCGCCGGCCGAGGCGGGCAAGTGGCGCGTGGGCGGCGAGGAGTTCGAGGCGCTCATGCGCATGCTGGACAACGCCGGCTTCCGCACCGGCTACATCTACCGCCATCCGCTCGTCAAGGTCACTCACTCACAACCTTTGCGTTACATTATAATATCACTGTCGAAATATGATACGAATAGATGCTTCGCAGTGTAATAAATTTCTACAAAGTGACAATCTGAATCTTTTTCTATTTTTATTACTTATATTTACGCAAATAATACACATGGAATTAATCTAATTTGACAGCTTTTATCGAGTTTAATTTTAACTTTTTAAATCCCGACGTTTCGGACATTTTAAAGAACCCGTAGACACGTGGTGGAATAGTATAACAAATTTCTGGAAAGTAACGCTTAACTCTATTTACAATAATATTAACATTTCTCAAAGTATCCGACTCGAAGGACCAAATATTCCATAGAACCCACAAAGAAAATATACTACACCAGACGAAATCTTAAACAAAAAGGATACCTAAGACTTTAATACTACTTACAATAAAATTTTATACTTAAGCCAAAATTGTCTGTCTACAGAACGATGTGCCCAGACCCAAGAACAATGTTGAAGTACCACCAGCAGTGTCATCTCTAGGATATCTTCTAGAAGAAGAAGAACTCTACAGGCAAGGGTAAGTGTTCGTTATTGATATCAATTGCCATAGTAAGGCAATCTCGGCCTTACAAAAACGAAAGAAATGCTTAAAGTTGCTCTGTCTCTATTTATTAAATAACAATAGAAAACGACAGGTATAGAGACAGTTAATATTTAATTTAAGTAAGCTATAATCATCAATGACAAATAAGGCCATAATTCTTCTTTTTATATTCTGTACGAGTCTAAAAAGGAAGGTGACATAGGTCATCTTTCTTTTACGATTCGTGTTGAAGCTTATGTATACCTTCAAGCAACTTAAAACAAAGAAGGCCTAACAGAATAGAATGCATTTTCCCTTCTTAGTCGGTGAGTACGTATCATAGACATAGAGAGAATGGACTGAGCGTTAGCCTCACAAAAGTGACCATTCTCTAGAAAGAGACAAAGTGACTGTGCAGCCAATACCTGTCTCTTTCCTGCAAGCCATCTATTTCCGCACAGAACGATACATCTAGAGTGTATAGAGAGTCAGTATAATTACATTCTGTGAAGCATTTCATGTTAATCGTCAGAGGTAACATCTTTATTTTAACATAATGTTTGAAATTGACTGTAGGTGTCTATGGATTAAAATAGCCACTTACCATCAAGGGGACTGTAAGTACGTTTGTCACTTAATTATGTATAAAAAGGTTGGTTTGAATTTCATTGTTAAAACTATTTTTCTACCCCCTCAGAAACTGGAAGAAAGGACAAGGCAAAACCGGTGAACGCACCCGTTGGCTAAACTCGCCCAACGTCTACCAGAAGGTGGAAGTTCTCGAGACCGGTACTAACGATCCGAAGAAGATCACCAAGGTAGAATACCTGCGTGTTGAGGCCGAGTAGATCGGTCTACTGGCTTGACAGTCTATTGGGGAGAAGTTGAAGCGGGCATATAGAGGCAGACTTTGTATATTGACTGAATTTTAATTTAGATATATATTTAACAAAAAAAAAAAAACAAATTCTCTACTGGAAGCAAACGAGATAATTTTTCAAATTTTGATCAAAGCAACAAAAATCAGTCCATGTATGAAGTCTTTAATAATAGTTGTATGGGTTTTAGAAGAGTCTAAGCTAAAAGTCGTGAAATGCTTCTCTTATAGCTTGTTTTATGTCTGTATCTGTATTTTCTTCTTATATAACATCTATAGAATGACGTGGAATGGAAATACTCAATTAATGTAAACAATTCTAACTTTCTAATAAACTGACAAAGTTTTGAGCCAATGTTAAAAGTTTCAAATTCAAAATACACTATGTAGTAATTTATTAATGATGGCGATGCTATGTTTTTCGCTTATTATGAAGTTATTAAAAGCAAAGAAACCGACTGCAGCGATCTATTCATGTGTGCTTGAGTGTCCGCCATATTCATTATGATGACGTCATTTAGTGTATGTTAGCCGCGCAATTATAATAAATTTTGGGATACAGACTGTCTAGAAGCTACCTAAACCAAGTATATCCGGCTCGAAGGACCATCACTAACACGACTTTTACCTTCACATACGAAACTATCCAGTTACAATGCTTAGACTTCCTTTTAGATTTAAGGCTTTGGAAATATAATATGTTATATGTTGGTACAAGAGATATAGTATTAAATTTAATTCCGTATTCTATGACGTAGGAAAAGTTGCATTTTATTAACCACATTTAACTGAAGCAGTTGCGTTGAAGTTTTACTTTACAACATTTTAAAAAAACCCTGTGGTTTCCGATACGGCAGGGACAGAACTTCTGGCCCTTGCCGTATATTGCCTCATATGTTACCGAACGGTTGCGTGATTGCATAAATTTACATGGTACCTCTGAGGTACCCCCTTCCTAACAAAAAAGAAGCGACGGTAGCCTAATGGGAGGTTTACACTGGTGACGTATATCGGTGAATTTTAACCGCTTTCGGTCTACCTTTAAAAAATAGCGATATCAATATTTTATACCGGTAGCGTAACCTCGTACCTTAACCGCAATCAAGCCCTGATTCAGAGAGCTATTTAATAGAACCATATCGCAAATTTTACAATAAGGTCAAACCATTGTTGAATATAGTATTTAATATAGTATTTATAAGTCATTAAAAGTGTAATTCTGACTCCAGTAACTGCCTCAGTTTAATGTCAAATAATTTACTTTAAATCTTTTATTCTACACTTTTAACTCACAGGTTTTAGTCAACCTTTTTAATTTTAAGACTAACTTTGTTAGTCTTAAAATTAAAATTTTTAGTGGGATTTTTTTTAAATAATTTTATTAATCTTTTGGTTAGTCGCTTCAGTAATTGTGTTTTTTTTTTTTATCTTTAAATACTTATTTTTCGTGGGTCATGGGGTTAGGTTGTTGTTATTGTTTTAATATACTTCCTGGGTTGTCATTTTTTTCTTTATTTCATTTCGCTACAGTTTTTTTTAAACATTCATTATTATTTTTAAATGTAAACAGTTTTTATTAAATTATAAATGTACTAAGCCATATTTGAGATATAAAGTATATTATGTTGATATTACTAAAGGATTTTTAATTATATGGAAATGCGATTAGGACTGATGTGGCGCTCAAATATTTTTCTATTTATTTTTATTTTAAATTAAAATCATCGAAATTCATCGTAGTAGTACAGATAATATTTATGTATATTTGCATTTTAAGAATTGTATAATTGAGATTATAGTTTAGTTGAAAGCAAAAACTTTTTTTAATTAGTTCCTATTACGTTTATTTCAATTTCGGAAATGAGTCTTTGAAAAAGTTTTTGCTCGCACTAATATATTAGCTTATATAGAGAACTGCTTTTAAAATTTTATGTCTACAGAACATATTAAATATTAAAAACCAATTAAAAAAAATTAACCAATCTATCTTTCAAACAACTCTAAATGAAATGCTTTTGAAATAACACACTAATCATTTTTTTTTGTTAAATGAGTGTTGTTTTTTATCTGTGACTAATATAATAATGTTTTGCAGTGGGTGGACGCTAACAACGAAGAGGTAAATAATATTTTGGTTCGAAAACATTTCAAGTCTTGTTTAAATTATTTATTTTATAATAAATTGTCCTTTTTTCTGCACGTGTACTAATGAAGGCACTCGCGACACAAGTAGTCAGCACAATCTTGACGTAGGCAGTAATCGATTTGAAGTAAGTCCAGTATATCAAGCCACATAATACCACTTACAGTGTTAGAGCTACGCTGCAGTTAAATTATGATTACAGCACGAATGAGTCGGCTCGACCGGGGAAGGACCGCGCTCTCACAAAACACCGAGATGAAATAGCAGCTTAATGTTGATGTGTTGCATGTGGTGAGTGTAGAGAACCGGAGACCCTTTTTACTGGAAACGAGGCATTCCATCTCAGTACTAAGGTGTGACAAGGCATCTGCAGCTTGATTTTTAATAGGTGATTGATTTAGGTGTCTATGGTCCACAACATCCATTTACCATCAGGTGAACAGTGTGCTCCTTTGTCACCCTTATTCTGTATTAAAAAGTTTAAGTGTAGTGGGAATTCAAAAAGACATCTAGCTATAAAAAATAGTATAACGAGGCATTTTGATTGTTTATTTGCTCAGAAATATTTGAAGAATATTCCACCTTCAGTGAGTTGTGTCAGCTCGACTAGAGGCAGATATTTTTGAATCACGTTATTCGACTCTTTAAACTCGAAACGACACACATGACTCGCGACGCTAATATACTCTATGCTCTATAATGGACATCTTTACTGACTAGTATCCACCAAGTTGGTAAGAATCGTAATCAAGCGGCAGAGAGAAATTAAGCATGAGGTGGGGAGCCACACCCACCTGTCAAGCGTGGCAACTGTAGCACATATCCCCTCTATGGGGTAGTAGGCTATAATCACGATGAATAATTTTAAGTGCTGATTTACCACATGCTCGGCGGTCAAGGAAAACATCGTGAGAAAACCAGCATGCCTGAGAAATGAAAACAAATTCGAAGACGAAATGACCAAAAACCTTCTTAAAATGGAAGGCGGTCTGTGGAACTAACTATAGTACTACTAATGTGTTCCCAAAGTGTTTGTGTCAAATCGTTGAAGCAACAGTTTTTAATAAAGGCTCATAGATATCGCTGTGAAAACTGTTAGAACAAATCATATCGCTCACAGGAGGCTTTCATTAGTTTGCCCTAAGAATAAATTTTATCTATTTCTTTTCTCTTCTCTTCTTTACGCTATTTCTTCCTCTTTTTAGTTCTGCTATCATTCGGGACTTTCATCTGTCGGTATGTCTAGGTACACATTTGTGATTGTATGGAATGTATGAAAATGTATGTGTGGATCAGATTGCGTGATTCTTGCTACTTTCGGTAAACGACGGTCCGCACTTCTTGGGTCTACGGTGTTGTCAACTTAATAATGCTATTTTAACAGATTAATAATTAATTAATATTTTTTTTAATCGACGATTTCTTTAATATTTCAAGGGCATTTCATTAATCCTACCCTGGTACTATGAATAAAAATATTAAGAAAATAATTTCATTCAACATCAAATACATCGAGTCTGTACAGTGTAGGGCAGAGAAAAAAAAAATCATAAATTAGATAAAAATGTTGCCATCATAACGGAAAGTTTCTCCCTGCACAACCAATTCCCGCAGATTTACCAAGTCATTACTCCTTCCTATATTTTTTCTTTATTTTCTTAAAATAATGTTTATTTTTTTTACTTGCAAATCTACGCTTTTAAAGAGCTTTGCATGGAATGATTGTGTAATAATTGCCATAATATCAATATTGAAAAAAAAATCTGTACACGCTCGATGAGTTTGCCAGGATGAAATTGGATCAGCTGTTTGATTTCTTTTTTATTTTCGCATAGCACATATAATTTTCCTTATTTATAAATGTCACTACCACTTACTTCACCTTACTGACCTTGTTTCGAAATATTACAACGCTGGCAACATTTTTACTAATTTATTATTATTTTCTCTTCCCTACGCTAAAAAACGTCGTTCCGGCAAAACGTACGGTCACTCTGTCTTGTGACTTTGGAAATTGGACCTTAATACGTGGGACAGTGGGTTCAAGATGGATCACCGGCTCACACTAGTAATCCTGTCAAGATCGATACACTACAATTTGTGCCTAAGAACACGAACCCCAAGGAATTTAAACAGCTACAGCAACAGGTATGTTTTCTTCATTATTTTATGTAAAGTTGAAATTAAAGGTGAGGCGTTGCATAATACTCCAATACATAACACTGGTGCAAAAAAGACCAACGTGTAGCCACTAAATTACCAACCCAAATCCAAGGGAAACTAGCTCTTAATATGGTGCTATTAAGATTTAATATATAATTATGGTGCTGCTAAACACAACATACACTATCTTACCCTACAGATAAGGAAGCCTCTCTCCTATAAATATTCATTCAATCATTCCATGCAGGCTTTCAAAGTCCACTGCTGTACATCAACCTCCCGGCACGTTTGTCATAGCTCCCACGCTGGGCAGGCGGGTTGGCAACTGTAGTTTTTTGACATTCTTGTTGTTATTTGAGACAAACCAAATTTTGGTCACGGCGTAAGCGCAGGACAGGATTATAGTGCCCGAGTGTATGTGCAAGCACAGGTGCACTCTCTATTCCCTTACGCTCATAGTCCGGTGGGACGGTAAACCGACACAACCGGATAAAACCATATAATAGACTTTTCAGAAATATGTTTTACTTAATTTGGTCGTAATATGTGATGGTAAGCTGATTTTTTTTTCAAAAATAAATCCCGCTGTTTTTCTTGCTGGTTTTTCCCAGGACAGAGGTTTTTTTTAGAACCAATGGTTAATTAAACAAAAGAGTGACTTTCAATAAGTATTATTTATTATCTACATTGAATAAAAGAGTTTCTGTTTCTGTTAATAATTATAATATATAAATAAATATAGTCTGTATAAAGAATAGAGCGTAAATAGTTTTATACAATCGAATACAACCTTTTTATCATGTATGTCGGCTGTGTTTAGCTCAAGGAGAACCGACGCGCCGACAAGATTAGCCCTGGGCCACAATCCCACATCCTGGAGGGCGTCACTTGGGACGAGGCCACCAGATACGTGGGCGAGGACGCCGCCAACACGCACACCGGCGACCATGTCGTGAGTATCCCATTTTTAGCCTTTCTTTCCCCTACCCCTCTTTTCATTTTTTTTTTTTCATTTAAGATCCATTGAATTTAATGTATTATTTAAGTATGTAATTTCTAAATTTATTTATCTATTCACAAGCATCTTAACAGTTAACAGAAGTATTCATCCAAAACGCTTATAAGATTAGATTAAATACATGCAAACATTATTAATAACCAAGTTGAATTTAAATTACATTATTTATGTCAATTGGTTGAATCAAATAAGAAGATTATTTAAATGTCAATTCTAGATCTAATAAAACACAAATCCAGAATTCTGAATAAGAAAACTAACGGTGACGGTGTTCAGTAAAAATTGACAATTAAAACCACAGTATAATAAACATACAGTAGGACGACGCCTTTGATCTCGTGGTAAATGCCGACAACGCCATACCTCAATTTCGCTACATAAAATTGTTCTTACACTCTTAGCTAGACATCAAATCTATATTATTATTAACGTTACAATGACTACAGACATTGAATTATTAGTTTATTTTATAATTGATTCTTTAGGCTTTCGAAAGTTCTTCCAACTAAATCAGATCTTCCAATAACTTCCATCCATAATTTGCGTCTGAAATTTTTAAATACAAGACTTATTAATAAATTTTCATAATTATCACCCCTAGAAATTTTAAAATTGACATCCATATTATATTATTAAAAAAATCCACTATCTTGGATATGAAAATTGATGCCCAGAAACCTCGAAATCGACATCCATAACATTAAAAAAATTATGTCCACCATTTTGAAGTTAAAAATGAATTCCATTTTCGTAATCAGCACCACAAGAAACCTCGAAATTGATACCCATATCATATTATTAAAAAAAAATCCGCCATCTTGGATATGAAAATGGATGCCGTTTTTGTAACCAACACCTCAAGAAACTTTGAAATTGACATCCATAACATTAAAAAAATAATATCCACCATCTTGAATTTAAAAATGAATACCATTTTCGTAATCAGCACCCCAAGAAACCTCGAAATCGATAGGTACCCATATCATATTATTAAAAAAATGTCCGCCGTCTTGGATATAAAAATGGAGGCCATTTTCATAATCATCGCCCCAATAAACCTTGAAATTGACATCCATATCATACATATATTAAAAAATGTCCGCCATCTTGGATTTAAAAATAAATGCTATTTTCGTAATTAGCACCCCGACAAACCTAAAAATTGACGCCTAAATCTTAATATTTTATTAAAAACTTCAAAAGACCGAAGACGAGGCACTATAATATATTACCTTAGCCTGTCCAACCACATGATTTAGATGAAGAAAAAAAATTAAACTTCGAAACAGTAATGCCCAGCGACTAGTACCTATTTTTACGTCCGCCATTTTTTACGTTGGCAATTTGGCATGACATGATAAAATATACATAATGTAAAAATAATAACAATATTCCTTTACCTTTCTTCCGTGATTTGGTGAAATCGCAGATCTTTATTTATGCGAGATGACGACTTGCAATCTCTCACAGCACACGTTGTATGAACCATTTTAATTATAAGTATCAACACTAAATTTAAAAATTATAAAAGCAAACGCGCGTTAACCCTGGAAGTCGTGTCCCGAGCTACTAATACGATTGGCATGAGCATCTCGGGCTTGTCCTTCCCGCGTCTCACCCCTCACACCCCGCACGATTGCCCTGTCTAGACGTCTTCGTCGGATGACTGTATGGATTTATAGACTGGTTAAAACTGATTCTAATGTGTGACCGCTATAAGCCTATAAGTTTTTAACACTACCCCCACTAGGATTTTCTCCTGTCTCGTGGAGGCAGTTTGTGGGATTTGAACTCGCGGCCCGTAATCCGCAACTAATTACTAAGCATTTACGCCACAGAGCCATAAAAGTTTTACCACCATCTACCGTCAAATCGGACTACTACTGAACATAGGATTTGTCATGTTTATTAAAAGTAAGATTGATAAAAGTACGCTTAATAAAAAAAATATAAGTTAAAAAAATAGAGGCATTTATATGGACTGCCGACAGAAGTGAAAACTCAATGATATATGCGTATAAAAGTACACAGACCGCTATAACGACGCGATGCGTAGTAGACATGTTCGTGACGTCACGAGGATGTCGAAGTCATCGGTGACGCGAACCTATAAGATTTTCCCCTACCAAAAATTGCTCACTTTCTCATTGCTTCATTCATTTCAAATATTGTTATTGTAATTTGTTTCTTTTTCTTTCTCATTTTTATCTTTGTACTTACATTTTTATGTGTTTTACCAACTTACTTTACAATAGGATGAATGTATGAACACGCCTGACGGCCACGCATTACTGGTTCGGTGGATAGGGTATTCGAGTAAAGAATGCCTTGATTTTTTTGTTTAAATGTCTATAGAGACAATAATAAAAAATATACCTTTATAGAAAGGTATATTTACTCTCAGAGCTGTATGCTCCTAGATTTTATTGTTGGTTATTACTGAAAATTAGTGTTCGACCGTTCAATTTTGGCGCTTGCTAGAAAACTTCGGACTCATTTCGACCGAAATCGCAGGTTTCGCTGAAGGCGGTTTTTTTTAAACGAAGGTGGCCGAAGCCGAAGTCGAAGCTTCGGTCGTACTCAACTGTAAATCAACATCACAGCTCTTGCTGTATAATTACCGTTTTTGGCACACCTTCGATATACAAAGCCAAATTTATTTAATTTCGTTTTTTTCATACATTCGTATACTGTTGTATACGTCCATTTGTGTGTGCCACATTTAAATGTTTGTTTGTTTGTTTCCAGGTGCTGATGGGCGCGGCTTCGAAGGGCATCATCCAGCGCGGCTACCAGCACAACGCCACGGTGTACAGCGCGCCGTACGCGCGCAACCCGTTCGACCACGTGACCGACCGCGAGATAGACGAGTACAAGCGCACCGTCGAGAGAAAGCAGCGCGGCAACGACTGTCAGTGCCCCGACCCTCTTGTTGCCTCTAATTTTTATTTTATATATGACTAGCTGTTCCTCGCGACCTCGCCCGAGTGTAGTTTAGGGTTTTAATTATGTTGCGCGGAACCCTAACTCTTTTTCTAAAATATAAGTAGCCTAAGATACTCCTTATAACATGCCAGTGAAAGTCCCGTCGAAATCGGTCTAGCCGTTTCTGAGATTAGCCGGAACAAACAGACAGATAAAAACTTTAAAATTTGTATTTTTGTTACAAACAGACACTTCAATTTTATTTATTTGTATAGATAGAGCGACAAATGAGCACACAGTCCACCTGATGGTAAGTGATTACTGTGACTCATAGGCATCTACATTTATTACATTAGACTACTACTACATTAGACTTTTGTTGCCCTATCTCTTGGTTTCCGTCTGTCGTAAACGACACTTACGGGATGATATGGGAATATCTATGGGTAGGCCTATGGTTCGTCTATGTTCTGCAATACAAATGTATTGCAGAACACAGACGAACGAATAGAACATATTTTCATTCAATACAGCGTATCTAAATGATATGCGGTATTGAATGAAAAAAGAAAGCCACTAGCATTAAAGAGTACATATATTGATAATGACCCCCGAGAATGAGTTGATTGCTATCATGCTGTTTCTAAATGCTTAATTATATGAAATACTACCTGATACCTGCGACTTAGTCCTCGTTGTTTGATATATTAGCTCCATTTCTCCGCGGTAGAAAACACACATCACTGAACACATAGTGCTTATAAAAATCATGGTTTCTTAAAACTTTAATGCCATTATATTAAATGAAGATATCGCATTTTTTTTTAGATAAGGACAAATGTCTAAGAAATAAAACTTAGAAAACCTAATTGAAATCTATCCAGTTCCAGTAGTTTTTCCGTGATGCGCGCACAACTGCAAACTGCTATCATTTTATTTATATAGATTATATTGTTAATTTATATTTAAAGAAAGTTCCGTTGGGTTTCTTGTTGGTTCTTTCCAAGACAGAGGTTTTTTTCGAACCATTGGTAAAAGTAAAAAATTTATTTCAATATGTATTCATGTAATGTATATTGAATAAAAATGATTCTATTCTATTATATTACCTCTTACTGTACCAAATAGCAATGCTTTGAGCTACTGCGTTCCGGTCTTGAGGGTAAAAGCCAGTATAATAACAGGCTTTGAGACATTTATTCTCAGTTTTCATTAGTGACAAAGCAACTGTAGCCACTTACCATCACGTGGACTGTGAGTTCGTTTTTCACCGCAGTTTTATTTAAAAAATAACTTTTTGTGTACAGACGACACGGATCTGTCAGAGTCGGAGGCGGTCAGCGGCGCACAAGTGACTTCACCCGCCAGCGCGCCCTCCGAGACCGAAGAGGAGTCACGTGACGGTAACTAGCACGCACACACACGCGTACGTAAGTGCACGCACACGTACGTACGGGCACGTGCGTGCACGTACTTGCGTGTGTGCCTGTGTGTGTTATTATAAAGACAGTGTGTGCACACAGAATTTATAATAGTAATCTATATATTAATACGTGAAAGGAAAACTCTACACCTTTTTATGCATATTGCGCACACGAAGGAATGTGAGATTTGGCAGTTATAGTTTTTATGGACGAATGCAAAAAAACAATAATTTATAAATGATATGTGTTACAAACTCATTATCGTTATTAACTTCATGCCATAACAATACTGCTATTAATGAAAAACTTCATGTACTTATTACCAAAACTTCAGACTGGTTGAATGATCGTAATCTAAAAATCAATTTTTCTAAAACTGAAATATTAACTTTTCATCCCCATCAAAAAACTGCATTAAATTTAAAATTCGATTACAATAGCACAATTTTAGAATTTGTGAAATAATTTAAATGATTTGGTATAGATATAGACACACACTTGAATTGGAAAGCGCCTGTCCATAGAGTGAGGTCTAAACTTTCGAGCTTCTCATATGCATTACACGAAATAAAATAAAAACTACCAACATAGAAACGGCAATAAAAACCTGCTATGCGTATGCGCACACTTGACTGAATTAACACATCATTCTGTGGCATTAAACAGCACGAATGCAGCCACTCTATTCACCCCTTCAAAAAAAATTAATCAGGATTTTAGCAAATATAGATCAGACTAATAGTTGCAGACCGTTCTTTCTTAAATTTAAAATATGAACATTACTTAGCTTATATATATACAACGTGTCCCAAAATTCAACGATAAGCCAACACCGGAGGATAGACCTGCCCCGGACTAATCGGGTAAAAAAAGAAAAAAAAATATATCCCAATTATATTTTAAGTTATATAAAAAAAATGAAATTCTTCAGAAATTGAGACCGTTTATGATATTTTTCACTACCATGACCACAATTTTTTAAATATTTTTTTCTTTTTTTTTTATAGGCAACCTGAATAGTACTGCTATCTACCACAATTCTTAAAAACTCCAGAATAACTCTTGTTTTATCACGAAAATTAATGAAACTTATTTTATTCCCTAAATTTTTTGAAGACTTTTACTTTTAACCAAATTTAACTTATCGTGGTGTAAAAAAAAAGTATGAACACTAGTATGGCAAGTTTTTTTAAAAATTGACGCAACAAACCAATATTCCAAAATGGTATAATACTCTAGGAAAACAAGTTATAAAAAAATATGGGCCTATTATTTCTTAACAGGGGCCAAATTCCTTAAATTGTAATTGTCAGTAATCACTTTTACTACATGCCCAAAATGGGTTCCTGTTACAATTTCTAGGAATTCGAATGGGGCATCAATACCTTAGATGTTAGAGAGAGATAGATAGATAGAGATATTTACGTTAAAAAGAGACAACAACAGGGCAGGTAGAGAAGCTGTTATTATTCTCAGCAAGTCGGTTCAGTACGCTCTGCTCCTTTGTTTACTGCGCACCGTACCCAATTCAACTTACGTGGCCCTCGTACATACTATCGACTTTTGGCTTGGCTTTTTGGACTGGAATCGACCTGCAAACTTAACTGACCTGGCATTATTTGGACTGGAAGTGATCTGCAAACTGAACTGACCTGGCATTATCTTGGACTACGATTGTGTGTTTTGTGATTTAGAGTTCTGGCGCATTTTGGACTGTTTGGCGTTTAACATGCCGCAACCGTACACACCACAGGAATACGCTAATATGCATTTAATCTATGGAGAATGCCGATGTAATGCTAACGCTGCTAGCAGACTGTATCCAGAAAGATACCCAAATGCTCAAAGATATCCTGATTATCGAGTGTTTATTAATGTGCATCAAGCGTTTTCGGAGGGTCGTATGCCATCCAATAGGAGCAGCGCTGGAAGACCTAGATTGGATCGTGATGAAGAAGTTCTCAAGGAGATAGAAAATGAATCGACTACTTCGGTACGTGCCATAGAAGAAGCTACAGGAATCCCGAAAAGTTCTGCACATCGAATATTAAAACGTCACAAGCTTCACCCATATCACTACAGGCGTGTGCAGACGTTATTACCGCGGGACTATCCGCTACGGGTCACATTTTGCCGTGTAATGCTGCAAAGGCACAGTGAAGATCCCCACTTCCTAGACAAAATTCTATGGTCGGATGAAACAACGTGCAAGAAAGATGGGTATTTAAATCTTCACAATCTACATAGTTGGAGTAATGAAAATCCACACTTGATGAGACAAGACAAATCCCAATATCAATTCAAGGTTAACCTATGGACCGGCATATTAAATGGAAAAGTAATTGGGCCCTTTGAGTTACAAGGAAACTTAGATGGCAATAGTTATTTAAACTTTTTACAAAATGACTTGCAAGAATTGTTAAACGACGTGCCCTTAAGTGATCTTCAAAACATGTGATTCCAAAATGATGGTTGCCCAGCACATTATGCCCGTCCTGTGCGAGAATATTTAAATCAAGAGTATCCAGGGCGTTGGATCGGGCGACTTGGTCCTATCTTATGGCCACCCCGTTCACCCGATTTGAACCCCCTGGACTTCTTCTATTGGGGTTGTCTTAAAAACAGGGTCTACTCAAAACCCATTGTGACATTGGACGAGCTTCGTCGAAATATCACTCAGGCTGCTGATTACATTAATAGCAGAAGATATGCAAGACAAATAAAACGATCATTTTTAAGGCGATGTCGTGCATGTATTAATGCTGGTGTCAAACAGTTCGAACATTTGCTATAATGTTAATAACTTAATAAATTACACGTGAAACTGTTTGTACCATTTGTTTTGAAATATTAAACATTTTTCAAGAAATAATACTTTTATTACACCCGACCGTCATTTGGCCCCTGTTAAGAAATAATAGGCCCATATTTTTTTATAACTTGTTTTCCTAGAGTATTATACCATTTTGGAATATTGGTTAGTTGCGTCAATTTTTAAAAAAACTTGCCATACTAGTGTTCATACTTTTTTTTTACACCACGATAAGTTAAATTTGGTTAAAAGTAAAAGTCTTCAAAAAATTTAGGGAATAAAATAAGTTTCATTAATTTTCGTGATAAAACAAGAGTTATTCTGGAGTTTTTAAGAATTGTGGTAGATAGCAGTACTATTCAGGTTGCCTATAAAAAAAAAAGAAAAAAATATTTAAAAAATTGTGGTCATGGTAGTGAAAAATATCATAAACGGTCTCAATTTCTGAAGAATTTCATTTTTTTTATATAACTTAAAATATAATTGGGATATATATTTTTTTCTTTTTTTACCCGATTAGTCCGGGGCAGGTCTATCCTCCGGTGTTGGCTTATCGTTGAATTTTGGGACACGTTGTATATATATAGGAGATGTGTAAATCTGTTCGAAAAGATAAGCAATTTTATACAAAACGTGAAGTTTTACCATGCAAATACACGTTACGACACAAAAATAAATTAGTATTGCCAACTTGTCGATTAAAACTAAACACTTCTAGTACATTAAAAATGAAAATAGTGACATCATATTTACAAAAAAAAATAAAACAGTACCTAACTAATAAATGTTACTATAGGTTATATAAAATGATCACACATTTAAATTAAATTCTATCTCAATAAACCACAATGACATTTTTATAAGTAGTTAAATACGCTTCTTTCTCGTAGCCCCTAAATTGGGTCCCCAACAGGGTCCATAACACTGGTCTCACATTATTTTATAACATCTTGTGTGCACTATGGTTTAGCTATAAGAGTTTGAGCTTAAATTAAATCAAAGAAAACATTGTTGACGTTCATACTGTCAATATCTGCTAGCTCAGGGGTTAAGCGCTCGCTATAAATTTCACAGTACGCGAGCAACCCGGGTACGATCCCCTACGACTCAAATGAAATTGTTAATTGCAATTTTAAGTGCTGATTTACCACGTGCTCGGCGGTGAAGGAAAATATTATGAGGAAAAAAAGTCTGAGAAATAAGATAAAAAAATATTTCGAAGACATGTGAAGTTCATGAACACGCATTGGGGCAGCGCGGCGGACACTTCGTTGCCTTAAAACACTCATAAAAATGAGAGGAGACCTTTGGCCAGGTCTAAAACGTATATAGGCTGTAACATTAAGTACTGGTTACAGGCTGTTACTTTCCCAAACGGACTTTAAAAGTTGGTATATTCCAGTATTTACTTTTCATCAGATATTGAAATCCAACATAGACACGATTTGATTTAAGGTATATTCTGATTTACACTGCGAGCACTGCTCAGTGGTTTCACGGGTAAAAAATTCGTTCCGTTATGGACTGCCAGTATACTGCCGCAGTAGCCTAAGGAAATATTGATTTTGTACCGTGAACACTGGCACTTACGCAAGGTGCTCTCATTACTTTGTGCTCTCAGTACTTTGTGCTCTCAAGTGATCAAAAAACATAACAGCGCCCAGATATTTAACAGCTTCGAATGATTATTATTATTATTAATTAATATTGTTATTCAAATAAACTCGGACATTAAGTATTAAAAGCACCAACATTCAAATAATAATTTTTCTTTTTGTACAGAAAACGTATACATGATAAATATTTTCATTTGAAAACAGTGCCGACGAATTGGGATGACAGTATAATTGACTGCGTTCCGTTTTAAACAGTAACCAGTATAGCAAACTAAAAAGGAATGGCTTCACAGTATACTGCATTGACATTACACTTTACAGTAGTCACAGTGTATATCGGAACATGCACATAAAGTACGAGTAGTGTTACCCATGGCTAATGGATGATATGTTCGTATTTTCAGAGCACCGAGTGTTGCGGATAGAGACAAAGCAAGCACCGGTCCGCAGCCAGCCCGACGTGGTGCTTAGCGATGGTGAGTGCCATTAGGACGTCATAACACCATTAAATATTTATCTACCTTATCTCTATATTTAGAAGTAGCTATCATCATTGCCCGTTAGTAACATTTTTATAGTTACGCTCAGGGTTGTTTTTTCTTAATTTTTCATTGAGCCGTAATATATTATAATGCCCGAGCAAACCGTACTTGATACCTGCCAGCACCAATGAAATTGTTAACCCCAACATTATTTGATTTACTGCATTATAGTTGGTGAAGAAATGGAATATATTGATTGGAGTAGCCTCACCAAACTTATTTACAACTGGCTCTTCTGCGTGATGATTTATATAAAAGTTTTTAGGTTCTAGTGTATGTACACAAAATAAGGCCTCAGTGTTGTATTTTTTCTACCGACTTCAAAATGGAGACGGTACTCAATACGATTGTAGGTGTTTTTCTTATTTCTTCTTTTTGTGTGTTACCTCATAACTTTTTTCTAGGTGAACCGATTTCGATGATTGTTTTTTTTATTTGAAAGCTGGTGCTACTCGTGTGGTTTTTGATCCAGTAGTATAATTTGATCAACAGTTTTTGAGTTATTCTTAATAATTTTTATATCGAAGTCGGTTGTACAAAATTTAAAATTATTAATTTTTTTTTTGTACACATTTGTAACCTTTTGTTAATTCTTCTTTGTCTAGGAATATATCTATAGTTTGGTTTATAAAATATTACTAATATTTCAGAAAAAAAAACATCAATAGCTATACAAATAAATGAAATTGAAGTGTTTCTTTATAATGTCAAAATAACAGCTTTTTACTAAATGTGTATGAAAGTATATACGGTACTTATAACGAAAAAGGTATTTAAAAATTATTGTTTGTCTGTCTGCCTGTTTGTTCCGGCTAATCTCCGGATTGGCTGCACTGATTTTAACGAAACTTTCACTGGCAGACAGTTGATGTTATAAGAATGACTTAGGCTAAATTTATTGTAGAAGAGTTAGGGTTCCGCGCAAAAAAAAATCTTATAAAATTTTATCGCTATTACGAGTATACATACAAATAATCAATAAACATATTGTTTCCACATGCCCTTTCACTACCGAGCGTGTGATAAATCGTTACTTTTTTAAGTTGCAAGTAACAATTTCATTGGTGCCTGATCGAAGTCCATAGATTCGATTCCCGAGCTTACATCACCCTTGTATTGATATGTCATTAATACTTAGCATGAGTTGTTTTGAAAGTATTTTCAAAGATAGTCTTAGATTTTCTTGAGAAACTGCATAAGTCTGGGCATGTTTTGTTTAATGAAGCTCTTTAGAAATTCTTATACAATCTTTGACGAAAGCGGTGGAAAAGAGATATATTAATATAATAGAAAAAATTAATATAGGTAGAACATTTTTAATGGAATGCGAGTGACAAACAAGCACACAGTCCACCTTATGGTAACTGGATACTGAGGCTCATAGACGCATACATCACCCTCTGAGGACTAAGTAGAATGCCTCGTTTCCAGTAAAAGGGTCTCCGGTTCTCTACAGTCGCCATACGAAACACAGCAGCATTAAGTTGCTATTTCACGCTGGTGTTCTGTGAAAGCGTGGTCCTTCACCGGTCGAGCCGACCCGTTTATTTGTACTACAATCATAGTATAGCTGCAGCGTGGCTCTACCGCGTGAAATATTATTGGTCGTTTAATTTCCTGTACCGCTTTCGTCAAAGACGGTTAGCCCTATAGCGTGCAGAGTTAGAGGTCGCATGCTAAGTCCCGTTTCCTCTTCGTAGTGGACACGACCGACTTCCTGAAAGCAGAGCGGGAACACGCCGACCTCGCCAGAGGTTAGTAGCTGCATTTGGATTTTTTATTTGCACGCTCTTTGCGACTGGATCTTATTTCACACTCTCTGGAATAATTTATTGGTTAGGGAAATTTAATTATTGTGCGTAAAACTTACGGTGTTGGTCCACAGATGATGCTTTTTTATAATTGATCAAACAAATATTTATATCAAGACCTATATGGTATATAAAATAACCTTTTTTTAATAACTTAGTTCTTAACTACGATGTCACCTAATTCTCAACACACCGACAGACCGTACTGTTATATATAAATTACTAAAATTATTAAATTTTACCAGATTGTGTTGCCATAGGATCCAATGCATGGTTTTGTTGCACTTCTATATTTGCGTTTTGCATTAATTCTTGCGTATTGACCTTTGATTTTAATAAAAACAACTAATTGTTATGGATATTTTTAAAAATAACCACGAACGTGAAAATTTGCCTCCATTTTTGTTTCATTTTATTCGAAAATGTGAATTTGTGTCCGTGTATAAAATAAATGTTAAAAAAAACTTTCTTAAAACATAACTCTTTATTTATAGCGACTGGTATTAAAGGAAAGTGGGTCAATTTCACATTCTTGGTTTTCGATGTCAAACGATGCTAATATTGTTTACCTTACTAACAATTTTTAACAGATTTTGGGCTATTTTCAGTTAAGGCTTGTGTTTATTTATATATATAATGAAAACACTCCCAATCGGTCTGTCAGTACTGTGGTTTGTATTTCCATAATGTGAAAGAGTTTTTGGAATCCTCTAGAAATTTGTGGGTAGTCCCAGATTCCCTTTTGATTTCTAAACTTTTTATTTTGTATTATCACTATAGAGTTATTTTCTGCTAAAAATTGGCTCAATTCTCCCTATATCCTTCTAGCAGTTGATCTTTTTTAAGCGTCAGGAGAAAATAGAACTTAAAAAACAAATAGAAAATATATCGTAGTAGAAGCCTAGGGCATAGATATCGTTTCAAATTATTATTTTTTCCTTGACATTTTATCAAATTGATCTATCAAAAAAATTAGGCGATTGTTGATAAATATTATGAAAGCGTGTCCCAATAGCGACTGTCGCTTGAGTATCCCAATTTGTATATTACGCCGAACAGGCTGTTCTCGGCCGCTTCAAGGTCATGGACGTTACAAATTCACTGATACTTGCCACGAGTAAAATAGAGGCTACATGATATATAGCATTTCGTTATTATAAATCGCTATTACTAAAACTTTTAAAATTAAAGTTAAATTAAAAAAAATAACTATGTCATAAGTTTCTACATATATATATATGACGGCACCTGCACCGTTGTAGATGCGGTGGCGTCGGTCTAGCTAGACAGAATTCTTGTAAACGACACGTGTACCGCACACCTGCGGTATTGCACCTGCGTTTGCCGCCCGTCCTGCTTGTATAAAACGGACTGAGCGGCCGCCGTTAAGACAGTCTTGGCTCTGACGTGGAACGGTACGCTTGTCGTATTCCGTTACTAGTTTATCCTCGACTCGTTGGATAATTAATTCGTATAAACGAATTAATTATTATTCCTAACTACAAAATTAGTCTCTGTATATATATATATATGAATATATATATAATATATAAGCAATACACTTTATATTTTCCTCAAAAATGTCACCCGTTATAAATGTTGTAAATGTTTCTAAGTTATACTGTTAGTTACTGGGTATTTAGGATTTAGAGAAGGGTTCAACAAATATAGGTTTATTTGATCTCTTTCTATGGTTTTCCTTTGTATTATATTCTATTCTTCTCATGTATTCTATATAAAGAGGTGGAACGGGATCCGAACCTACTGTCTGATGATGAGGTATTTTTGGATTCGACCGCTTCTACTGGCACTTCGAGTGTGACCGCCGCGACACCATCTACCGTCGTTGTGCGGCAATATACGGCCGCGACACCCATGTATGTCAGCCGAGGTGTGACTGCAAAGAGTGCGTTGGAGATACCTATCGTGGGAGTGGGGTCAGAAAGTCCATTTTATGGTTATTGTCTCGTCTTGTGGTGATCCTCGCTATATAATGCTTCTGTGACTTTGGGTTGTGAAAGAGATAGCTTTAGGCATGGCTGTGGATAAGTTACACGAAGACGAAAATAGACTTATTTTAACCATTGATCATAGATGGAATTAGTTCTAGTTTAAAAGAAGTCGAATGGATGACATTTTCCCTATAGAGTCTTGTAGAGGTTGTCAAAGAATTATGTCTCAACCGTGAGACAGAATATTTAGAGACCATCTTTATACTGGCTGATAAAAAGAATCTTAACTTGGTGTTAAGCTTTCTTATAGAATACTTGAAAAGAGTAAAATGAATGCGTATGGTCAAGGCGTATGTAGAATTGTTGGCATATTTGCATATTTGTGATTGTCTTCGAAAACTGTATTCGTGCATCTTTACCGTTTTGTTGTTTGGCGTCAAATATTTGTCGCTTTTTTACTGGTATTTTATCAAATTTGACTTCGATATATAGTGACAAATTTCACGTAGGAGAATTTTCATATTATCATGTATTCCATCTCACACATTGTTTCTTCATTTTGTGTCGTTTAGCTTAAAAACAGTGATTGTTTTTTCCAGTTACGGGTTGTATGATAAGATATCTAACGGTTTCGTAAAATCTTCCCCCTTAATAATCTCTAATAATGTAATTAGTGACAACGACGATATTAAAACCAAATAAATACAGACTTGAGATTCTACGGTTTATTTTTCTATCAATTAATGGCATGTATGTATTTATGTTCCATTCATTATTTATATTTATATAGCATCACAGCTTGTGCATTTGCACCTAACTAAAGCTTGTTCATTAATACAGGTAAATTAACAGCTGTGGACAAAATCCTTGACGAAGCCCTAACATCAAGCACACGCTCGAGGCATTGCTTTTCACGCAACCCTAATTTTGACAATTATATTCATAAATTCGAAGCTATTGATATCAAAAAACACCCGAAATGCAAATTAAGTCTTAATTCTAAAATGATTGCTTCAAGTGATAATAAAGAATTAGTTCTACGTAAAGGTTATGATTTAGGCAGTCGTTCTAGTTTGAATTCTATACCGTCATTAGAATGGGATTGTAGACATAGAACGGAATATTTATTTCGAACCCAATCTCTTCCGCGACAGAGGGTTAGTTCATGCCACAAAATTAACAGGACGCGTTCGCACAGTGGCTTCATCAATTCATTCATTAAGGATCCAGATCCCAATCACTATCATATTCCCAAATGCAGTTCGTGTGGTGAAAACACCTTGTCTTATAGGGAAATAAAGACAGGTTCAAAGAGTAGTTTAAGATCCAAATCACATGGTTCGCTATATTTCTCCTTTGATAATATCCATCAGAAATGTTTAGATGAACCTAAACCTAGTATAGTCAAAGTGATAGCAAATGTGCTACCAGTTTTTAAAGTAAACATAAACTCCAACGCGGAGTTTGTTGAGAGCCAAGAATTTACCAAGGATAATTATTTAGATGATATGAGTAACAGTTTATCAACAGAAAATCAAACCATTGTTGAAAACAAACAAATATATACTTTAGTTCAGAATGGCGAAAGTGGATGCCTTATTGAAAGTAATACTAAAAAGGATAAAGAAGAAAATAACACTTTTAGAACAGAAGAAGATACAGATATTCCAGATAAATGTGACAGCTCAATCAATTCGATTGAGGGAGAATACCACAGTTTTCATGAGGATATGGATTTCGAGGAAGCGGTTTACGATAGTCCTGGAAAGAAACTAATGCAAAAGGATATAAGGGATTATTCTGTGCCGATCGATTTCTTTTGTTCAGATTATGGAAGAAAAGATTCTATTGTACAGATATCTCCAAGAAAATGTGACAATCAAAAAATAAGTGAACCAATTTTGGAGGAGTCTAAAAGTTCAAATAGCGACGAATCAAATAATGTAACTTCCATAGAAAATATCAAAACTGAAAACAAATCATTGTCTGATGCATTAAATCAATGGAAAGAAAAAAATATCAAATACTTCAAAAACCTTCGAACTTAATAGGATCAGAGACATGGAAACAGAAAAAATTAATAAAGAAAACTCAAATATTAGAAAAGAATTGAATCAGAATATTAATGACGAAAATTCAAAATTTGAAACTGTGTCTCATGATAAAAATTTAGATCACAAAGACCCGGAATATTTTTTAAAAGAAAATCAAATCCAGGCTCTAACAGAAATTAATAATTCAAAGCATGATGATGGAATAGTTTCTGCAACTAGTAAAGTAAGATTAAGCTACAACAGCCTTACTAGTACAGAAACAGGATTTAGTTTTGATTCTATTGATGAATTTGAGAAATTTGAAGTCGTATCAGAGATTCTTGGAGTTATAATTAACCGAATTAACTTCGAAACCATGACATTATTTGACAATAATAGTGATGACAATATGTTGGTCGAAGACACAAATAATGAAGGAGAGGGAAGTAATGAAATATCGTGTGGTGATCAGAACGGGATAGAAAAAGCTGCATTGCCAGAACAAAACCTTGAAAATTTTTCTATAGTACAGATTGTAAAAGAAATAGAAGGTAATGAAAGCCTCAATGCCACTGACACCACAGATGCTAGCGATTCGTCAAGTATCCAGAAAAATAAAATAGTTGAAGCAATCCTATACAATATTTTCAATACAGTGTTTTACATTGTGACTTGTAAGAACAAACCTAAAATCAAACATTCTAAGCAAGTAGTAACTGTTATTGACAGCGAAGATATATTATTTACAACTGACCCGCTACTTTTGAATCTTATACCTACAGAATTTGATGACGAAGAAAATGGAATTTTTGAGAAACCGTATGATGATCACAGCGATAGTAATTTAGAAGATACAAGCGTACCATGTGAATATATTAATATTGTTGATATAATAGAACGTGATATAACTAACGCAATCGGATACAGTGAATCAGGTGAGGAGTCTAGATTAAATCCC